TTAATCGTCCCAACACTAATATATATATATATATATATATATATATATATATATATATATATATATATATATATATATATATATATATATATATATATATATATATATATATATATATATACAATACACTTACACAATACACTTATATATATATATATATATATATATATATATATATATATATATATATATATATATATATATTCCTCCATTAGGTCACGTAAAAAAAGCAGCATATCACGATTAAAAAAGGCTCATAAATCAACAAAAACAAAGTTTTGTCTTAATATGTTGTTATTAAGTGAAAGCTAAAACATTAAATTTATTACTTACAGTAAGTAACATATTCTGGTGTCTTTCAGACAGAAATTATATAGATTGGAATGTCAAATATATGCTCGATTTTTGTTTAATTTTCTTAAAAGCGGCCATTTTCTTAAATTTTAAGAAATTTGTAAACAAACAAAATTTTGATTTTAAACTTCTTCCTAAAATAAATTCATATATTTTTTCACACGTTATTTAAGTAAAATTAGAAAATTTAAAGTTAAATTCTGATATGAAACAAACAGTACTTATAGCATAAAAATTTGTATCCAAACATTTCTTAACGATGTGTCTGAATTTATCAAAGAAATTGATTGTGACGAGGTGATGATAGATTTCTATTGATGATCAAAATTGACAATTTTTGCAATGTAGGCGAACGCGGTTTTTCGTTTTTAACTAGTACTTTTTAAATATTAACATTTTTATTCGGCAATTATGTAATATCTATTTTTTATTTCATACTTTCTTAATTAGATAATAGTTTAAAGTTTTTTTATTAATTAGATAATTGTTTAAAATTTTTTTTGGATTATGTCATGTATACATTTTCCATACGTAGAAATTATGAACGTGTTTTTCAATAAAATTTTTTAAAAAAATTATTTTTAAAATATTTTGGGTCAAACGACTGTTAGTGTTATGTGCTTTTCAAATTTCGATTCGTAAATTTAGTTTTTCATTAACGTTATCATTGCATTACGTGCTTGAAAGCAATAAAGAATTTTAAACGATTTTTGAAGTATTAAGAAGTTAATGAAATATATACACATCTAATCCTCAATTATAAAATTAATTATAGTCATCAAATTAACTTAAACACGCTACGATTTGTACTTTTACTGCAATTAGGAGTAGGAACCTAGCGTCCCCCCCACCCCACCAATAAAACTTCTAAAAATCGACATCGGAAATTTTAAAAAAATGTTTTTAATACTAGGAGTGGGAAGTTAGCCCCTATTTAAAACAAGAAGAGAAGGAGCCTAGCTCCCCCCCCCCACGAGTAAATATCTATTTAAAAATATTTATTTTAAAATATTGAGGTGGCGGGGGACTTAGCCCTATTTTAAACTAGAGGCATGGGAGCTTAGACCCATCCCTCTCGAACGGTCATAATTTTCTGTTGTCGAATTGCCATTTTTTCCTATTTATCCACTTTTGTCATTTTTACCGTTGCCATTTTTACCCTGCCATTTTTTCCGCTGCCATTTTTACCGAGCACCCGTGCTGACATATGAACATTTTTTCAATCATTTATTTATTTATTTGACAAATAGTTGTTCATTCTCGTTATTTTTCTTTCGAATTGTCACGTTTTACCTCTTTCTTTCTTTCTTTCTTTCTTTCTTTCTTTCTTTCTTTCTTCGGTCCTTCCTTCCTTCCTTCCTTCTTTCCTTCCTTCCTTCCTTCCTTCCTTCATTCATTCCTTCTTTCCTAACATAGAGCATTCATTTATTTTAATTTAATTATTCATTCTTTTTCGTTTCTTTTGATCGTTCGACTTTTATTTATTTTTTAAAACACGTTTTGAGTTCTTTCTTTCTTTCTTTCTTTCTTTCTTTCTTTCTTTCTTTCTTTCTCCGCTTGTTTGTTTGTTTATTTCTTTGTTTCTTTGTTTGTTTCTTTGTTTCTTTGTTTGTTTCTTTGTTTCTTTGTTTGTTTCTTTCTTTCTCCGAGTGTTTGTTTCTTTCTTATTATCATAAATCATTCATTGTTATTAATTTATTTATTTAATTATTCATTCTTTTTTCGTTTCTTTTTATCGTTCGATTTTTTTTTATTTTATTCTTTTTTTTTTATACACGCTTTAATTTTACTCTTTAACTCATTCATTTATTCAGTCATTCATTCTCCCTCCAGTATTGAATGAAATCAGAGAGACCATAAAGTTAAGGATTGCCTCTAGCGGACACATTATCTTATTTATTCACAATTCAGTATTCATTATTTCTTTTTTTAAACCCTTGAATGAACAACTATATTTTATGTTTGAGGCTAATTCTTCGTCAAAGAGGAAACAAATGCGTATATTTTCAATTACAATCTTTAAAAAAAAATCCTATCAATTTAAAAAAGATATATTTAATCTCGATAATCTATTCTGATCTCTTCGCAAAAGCAAAATGGATTTTTATGAAAATAGGAAAAAAGATTTAAAACATATAGAAAAGACTAAATGACGTGGCGGAACTTTATAAACTTTATTTAGGATTAATGAATGTCACTATAACTAGAATAAATTATTAAATGAAAGATTATCTTCACTAGAAATTCACTACAAAACAGACGAATTGATAGAATAATTGGTGGTGTCGGAGTTACTTCCTCCTTAATACCCAAATTGTCACTAGGGGTCTCCCCCCATACTATAAATACTGGGCACCTTCTTGACTCGATCTCCCTTTCCTTCAGGCCTCGTGTCGCATCCCACCTCGCGTAAATCCTCTTTTTCATTTCTTCATTTCAGTGACTACAATGTAAACTCTCTTAGAATTTCGCGTCTTCCCATTTGTGGGAGACGCCATGAACATTATACACGCATACACGTACATACGAACATTCACCAAAATACGAACATTCACCAAAGAACGTGGTTGGATGGGGCAACCCGCTCCGGGCGGCACTTTTCAGAAAAGAAAAAAAACAATAGCATAATTTCAGTCAAAAAAAAAAAAAAAAAAAAAAAGAAAAGCAAGCAGCGATAAGTAAGGATATAGTGTTCAAATGAATCCAATTTGTCTTTGATATGGCTGGCTCAAAGCTAGCCATCAATAAAAGAATTGTTTCCAAAACGCACTGTCAACTGGTGGGGATAAACCCCACTTACAAGACGGGATCAAAAGTTGTGATAAAATTTTAACATTTTTAAAGGGCTTGATGTGGCTTGGATTAAGTGAATTTATTGAATCCACAATTTTTTCACATCTATGTGAGAAGTCCAGACTTTGGCGTCAGTTCTTTCATTTTGAATTTTCATGTCTGTGAACTGTTAGTGAAAAAAAAAAAAATAAGAACCAATTTTTATTTTATTTTATCATAGGCCTAGCTTCAATACGGATATAAAATCGTTACTTTTCATAAATTATAAAATAGACAGATAAATACATTGAAATAATTCCAATATTTTAAGGATATCACATGCATTCCAATTTTTCCGGAAATGTCGAACAGAAATTTAAAAGAAAATTAATGTATTTTTTTAAGTGCAGAAACGTTATTTAAAGTCCAAAAATGGAACTTTTTTCAATTTACAAGTTTTCACAGTAGTAAAACAATACAATGTGTTATTTGTTTGTTTAGATAGTTGAAGTTTTATTAAGCAAGAATTAAAAGTATAACATTTATTTCATTTTTTAAAAATGAAATTAATTTTGTCTGATTTTTAATGCTTAGTCTACTACTTTGCTAATAATAACTTGAACTACGTAAAACAAAATAATTAAAAAAGACAATGTCTTTTTTTACATTGTTAAAAGAAAAACGCGGCCTGACGATTGCGTCTAGCATGAAACAGACTGTTGCCTCTGAATGTTGACTTCAATGTTCACTTATATATATATATATATATATATATATATATATATATATATTGTTTAAAATCCAACAATACCAAACGGATCTAATATAGTTGTAGAAAAAATAAACAGAAACGGGCGAACAAACACTCTTTTGTGTCTGGACATTGAGAGGTAAGCTTAGGTAATTCAATTTGATTTAAGATTCCAACTTATCCGCAGAGATCCTAAGATCCAAAGAGAGCAGACGATCTCGGCGAAACGCGTCGTTAATAAATTTTTCACTTTGTCTCATCATCTTCACTTTTGTTTCGAATACTACTGTGCATCCTATAAACAAAGTCATTTAATTCCTAACTGCAAAAATTGCAGATAGAACCGTTTTAATTTCGGGTGACAATTTGTTGAAGTACTTGCTAATTTGTTTGAGCCAGACCAACCTTTGTTGAAGAATGAACGTGAACTATGAAATCTTTTCCCGACATTCTACCTTACCGGAAGTGACCAGTTGGTACAGCTTTACGCCTTCTATCAATTTCCCGCCTTTCTCAACCACAATTCGTACCACTCATTGCTAGCCACTACCACGCAGACAATCCTCTCTCCTTCTCATTTTAAAGACAATGACTTTACACACTCCTTCCTCTTCCTTGCTTTTCCTTCAAACCCTGTTAATCTCAGAGAGGTCAAGTAGACACTGCTTTGGTGACCACTTAGGGAGCGCTAAAATATACTGTATTTTTCCTGGTTGTTGGATGGAGGTAACCTTGGCAAATCACGTTTGTAAAATTTTTATTTATTTGAATTACTTTTCGGCGCGTCACTTATTTTTATAAATAGGGAGATTGTGATTATTAAGAATTAATTGATTTTTAAGATTAATTGATTGATTATTAAGATTAATTAATTGAATAATTGATTGATTATTAAGATTATTAAGATTAATTGATTGATTATTAAGATTATTAATTGATTGATTATTAAGATTAATTGATTGATTAATTGAATAATTAATTGATTAAGGGAATTTGCGCGCAAGTATATATAAAGAACCCGACCGGAATGGAAACTCGCCATTGCGATTAACAATTCCAGGCCATTATCGATTACACCAGTGCACATTACAATACCAGATTACAGCACCTGGTATTCCCCAGTGGTCACCCATCCAGGTATTGACTAGGCTTGTCGTTGTTTAACTTCGGTGTTTCAACGTCAAAGTATATGATAGGTAGTAATCCAATGCATTAGTTATAGACTGAAATAATTTTTACCAGTTTCGATGTCAAAAACGATTTCCGTATTAAGAGAGAAAATGACTGACAAACACGAAAAGTTCTCGCAACTGAATTGTTACTATCCCAAATATAAACATACATCCGGGGACTTTAAAAATATTATATATTAATAATAAATAATATTTGATAATTTAATAAATTATTTATTGTAAAAATTAAATTTCTAATTCTGGTGCTAGCAATGTTGGTTTATTGTGTTCCCTTTACTCGTCTGAATCTATCTTAGATATTTATAGGTCTACCATTCGTCCTTGCTTTGAATATTGCTGCCACATATGCTCTGGTGTTCCTGCTATTTAGAGATTCTTGATAAAATTGAAAGAAGAATCTGCAATATTATTGGTCTTGACCTGGCATCTCAGCTTCAGTCATTTTCCCACCGCCGTAACGTAACTTCCCTGTGTCTTTTCTATAAATATTTTCATGTTAATTGTCCTGATGAAGTGTCCTCTGTGGTTCCTAGACTTTTAGCGCTGTACTAGATCGGCGGCAAGGTTTCATCATTTTGCGGTTGAAATGGATGGATTAACCGTAAGGTCTATGGTAACAGTTTCTTTTCTCGCACTTCTCGCTTGTGGAACTCTCACCCAGCTTCTTGTTTTCTTGTCAACTTTGATCTCCGAAAATTTAAATGTAATGTCAATCGTTATCTTCTGTCTTCTTACTTCTGTTTCTTTTATTATTCTCTCTCCTTAATAGTTTTTTCTTTTTCTTATATTCTTTCACACTCAGCAACCCTTTGTGTGTTAGTGGCTTTATTACCTTTCTTGGAATGAAATGATTAAAAGAAAAAATTCTATGGAAAGTGTCAGACGAACTACATTTCTTAGTTTCATCAGTTCTAACTTTCACGGCTAAGACTCGCCATGCCACGCCCATTTTAGCGAAACACCCTCATTCCCGTCGTATTCCATGGGTGATATGTAAGTTTTTTTTAATTTTACCATCCCACTCCTTTTCTGTTCTACCATCCATTTGCACAAGCCCATTAGCTAAGAGTAGACGCCATTTCCCTATGTGCCTCTTATCTTCAGTATCTTTTGTGAGTATCAAATTCTTAAGCCTTCTTTCCTCATTATGTGTTCTAGAAATCTTTTTCCTGATCATGTCCTTCTTACTTCCATTTTTCTTAATACTTAATTTTCTTGTGGTAGTAGGGTTACTGAGCACCTTAGATAAATGCATGGAACTTGTCAGGTGCTCAGCTGCGCAATCCAGAGAGATATGCATTCATGCAAAGTGTGTTCGTTGTAAAGAAGGCCTGGCGGAGTCCATCCCTCTCCTGGTTGAACAGCCGATGTTCTCAAAGCTGAAGTTTTGGCTTTGTAACGGACACGTGGCCGATGACTCCATCAGGGGTAACACTCCGCCCTAGTCGTTGACTTTCCAGCTACACAGTGACTTCACCGTACTGGTAGCATACATAGGCATGGAGATCAATCTACCAGATTGTACTAAATGACCTTTGACCTTACGAAAAGGTCCATCCATCCTTTGACAAGTCTTTTTTTGGGGGGGGTCTCTAGATAATTTTCTCACCAAAAAAGACTGGTAGGCAAACCAGTTTAGTTGCTGATGACTCTGCCATTCGGCAGACAATACTGAGTTACATAGTATCAGAAGCACTCGTAGAGTAATGGTTGAGAGTAATGGTTAGCGGCTCGGATTGAGGAATCGGAGAGCTGAATTCAAATTACAATCGAGTTCATTACATTCACTTACGTGGGAAAGGTATGAATCCACCTCTTCTCTCTCCCCCAGCTATGGGTAAATAGCAGTACAGACCGGGTTCTATATCATTAGGTGGCAACCAGTCTAGGAAAAGGAAAATCAACCGAGTGGATACCACAACAGGTACAGTTAGTACTCGTAGAATGATCTGATGCCTGATGTTGGAAATAGCTTCAGTAATGTATTAGTTAAAAATAAAATAAAATCGGCTATATATTTAATCATACCTCTGGAAGGTTATTTTGGATTTATAAAAGGTAGGTTGGGTGGAAGTGAGCTTTAAAATATCATAGAGTTTTAACCAATGGCTTGAAATACAGTAGAATCTCTGACAACCGGACTAAGAAGGCCTTCCGGATATGAGGAATTGGTTACAAAGTCCGAATATGAGAGGTTATATTTAGATTAAAATAAAAGAACTGAAATCAGGTTTAACTTTTATTTTCAATGTTTTATAGTAAACAAAATAAGCCAATGGTGAGAGAAATATAACAGAATTGACTTTAAGAAAATAAATTATGTAATGTTAATGAAAATTCAATAAAATTAATTAATTCCACGTATGCAAAACAAATAATGCAACGAGGATTTTTTATTCGCTGTTGCATGATGATTCTTTTTCTTCTAATGTCATTCTCAACTTTTTTCGTATTTAGTTTGGTTTTGCTCTTGAATTTTTTAAACGAAAGACACCTTTTAACTCTGTGTGCGTTATTGCAATGGCCGTAGCTGAATGCTGACTTTCTTTCCATAAAACTGACAACTTTTTCAATAGCTTTTTCAATTTCAGTCCAGTTTTCATCACAGTCATGCATCTCATCGCTATCTTGTTGCAGATGTATCTCGTAGCAATTACTAAAGTAAATTTCCTGAAAAACGGAAATTTCAAATCAGTTATATATCACCCAAATACTTCAAATATACGCATCAAAATCATGTACGGATATGCGGGATTCCGGATAGGAGGGATTCCAGATATGAGGGATTCTATTGTATTTTAAACTTTGTTTAATTTATAATTCTTTTATCTTTTATTTGCATAAAACAACAGTAAAAACGTTTGCGCCATTGAAAAGAAACCAAATGCTGCAATGCAATAACTTCATTTATAATACAAACAATTCTGAATGTATTTTGAAATATTTGTGTACTGAAGTCGTAAAATTCTGGTACAGGAAGACTAAAGTATAACTATATTTAATCTAAAATTACACATGTTCACGCGTTAGCAAAAATATGCTGACGTCAGTAATTATGAAACAAAAGATGTATTCACGATATTCACAATTACCTTTAGTATAAAGCAACCATTTTTTTTCACGGCAGTCTTTTTTTAGTCCCATATCTGGAGTTTCAAATCAATAACTCAGTCACAAAAGGAGTAGAATCGATTAAAAGAAAAAAAGCCCTCCCTACGCCTGGGATAAGATTAATGAAAACTCACCTGAATAGGTAAACAGTTGACTGTTATATTGTTTGAATATTTTCCACAGAAAAATATAAAAACATTCATTTCATAACTGAAATTATGATCAATATTATTGATAAAGACAGAGCAACGTCACACATGACTTATATCAAGGAACTAAGTCAATCGTTGACTAAACAATTATACATTAAATAAATAAAGCAACAAAACTTTCAAACGTTTCGGTCGATAAAAGTAACTGACAGATATTAGAACAACTAATTTGCCCGTACCATCAAGAAATGACAGGAAATATTCACGTATTTTTCCAACTGCATTGTTGTACTTATAAATATAAAAAGAAAATTATGTGTCGCTGTATTTCTTTGTTTATGTTCAATACTTCCTGAGGGTAAAGTAAACTAAAAGTAAAATTGAGTCAAGATAACAGTTTATGCTCTGCCTTGCCTCTTTGTTAGAAATGAAAACATTTATGATAAATGAAAGTAATTTTAATACCGGGTGCAACATCAAAATTGTCCAAATCGTGTTACAGCATTATTGTCCATCCCACAAAATGTTTAATATCTAAAAAAAAAAAAATAAATAAAAAAAAAATTAATAGAGGTTCTTTTTTCAAGGTTTTCAGATAAAACGTTTAGCCATCTTGATAGCATTTGTCGTAAGAATCATTGAAAACCCCTTTAAGTTATTGAGCTAGAAAGAGAACATGTTAAAATCGTTTTGTGTCCTGATATATATATATATATATATATATATATATATATATATATATTACGCCAAAAATGAAAATAACACTGACATCTCATTTTAACAAATATATTTACCAAAATTACACAAAAATATCTTGAAATATTAAACAGTAAATTTATTCAATAAAAATGCCACAGCCTCCAGATGACTTTGGAATCTCTTGCAACTCTTTTGGATGGTCTCCTTTTTTAAGATGGTGTAGTCAACTAAATGAAAAACAAATAACGCGCATGCGCGAAATTAAAAATATAGAAGGCAAAAATTTACCCGTCGCACCCTGTATATACATACATACATATATACATACATACATTCATATATATATATATATATATATATATATATATATATATATATATATATATATAAGTATGGGCAAACCGCAGCTCATGAGTCGGATACGGCTCTCTGAGATTTAATATATGGCTCGTAGAAATATGTTTGTTGAACTCCTTTTTCATTACAGTTAATATAAAAGATAAATAAGAAAAATTTCAAGCTTTATGATTATTTACTGGGTATGAATAGAGACCCCATTGGTTTAAAACGTAAACTTAATGTTCATGGTTGGTGAAAACATTTAAGAATTTAAATCCTAATTTTAATGCCAGATCTGTATGAGGCATAGTTCTTTAATACTGAGGGAACGAATGATGGCAGGTGGATGGATTAAAGAAATTTCTGGCCAGCAAATGTTACAGAGGAATGTCAGAAGACTGAGGTCATGATTAAGGAGGTTAAAGGTTTGGGTGCGCGGGGGGGTGAGAGTGTGATCACATGTGTATGTAACAAAAACGTATGTATAAATTGTGTTCATGTCACAACCTTCTGAACTTTAGAGCATGTGGCTCTTACAGTAAGCAAGTTTGGTCACCTCTCTATCTATCTATCTATCTATCTATCTATCTATCTATCTATACCACTGCTATATTTAACCGGCTCTTTAGGTTTATATATATATATATATATATATATATATATATATATATATATTGTCCAATAGATAATTAGTTTCCGTCTTCTTATTATCATATATATATATATATATATATATATATATATATATATATATATATATATATATATATATAATATGATAATAATTATCTATTGGATAATTTATCTATCTCTCTCTATATATATATATATATATATATATATATATATATTATACATATAAATTATTATATAAATATATATTATTATAATTATTATATTATATAAATATATATATATATTATTATCAAGAGCTTGGTATACATATTCATTTACGGTCATATATATATATATATATATATATATATATATATATATATATATATATATATATATATATATATATATATATAGAGAGAGAGAGAGAGAGAGAGAGAGAGCCACAGCTCGTGGTTCACATATATTATATATATATATATATATATATATATATATATATATATATATATATATATATATAATATTGCGGCCGTAACTGAATATGTATACCAAGCTATTGATAATAATGGTGAAGCTCGAACTGTGGCTCTCGATAGATCGAAGGCGTTTGACAGGGTTTGGTATGCTGTTCTTTTACGTAAGCTTCAGGGATACGGTATTACAGGGCGATTATTTGATTTAATCCAAACATTTCTGTCGTTTGACAGGGTTGAACGGCTTCTCTTCCAGTTCCTTTCATACGAACGCTGATGTTACTCAAGTCTTTATCCTATGTCCTACACTGTTTTTGATCTTCATCAATGATCTTTCTGACGTCATCAGTTCCCAAGTAGGCATCTCCGCAGACGACACTACCATTTACTCCTGTCTCAATAGTAAATCCGGAATTAATGACAAAGTTAACCTGGCCGTTGGTCTCGAAAACGACTTCCAACCTGTGGCTGACTAGAGCAGGAAATGGCTTGTAAATTTGAATGCATCCAAAACGAAAACTGCTATCATTTACTCACCATAAAGAAACTTCCCTGCCTCCTATCAGCATAGTCGATAGTCATCTTCATGAGATCGCCTCTCTGCGCCTTCTTCTACCGCAAGGAAAGTTGGTCTTCTGTGTCCCGCCAGAAGGTTTTTCTCGACTGAGTCTATACTTCACATATATAAATTTACCATTCGTCCATGCATGAAATCCTGTTGCCATATATGGTCTGGTGCCATATATGGTCTGGTGCCATATATGGTCTGGTGCCCCCGCTGTCCATCTCTAGGTTCTCGATAGAATTCATAGACAGATATGCAATGAGATCAGTCCAGATTGGCACCTCGACTGCAGCACTTTCTCACAGACGTGATGTGGCTTCCTTCTGTCTTTTCTGCAAATATTTTCATGGCACCTACTCTGACAATCTATTTTCCCTGATACCCCAACTGCATGAATTTAAGCGTGCTACTAGGTTAGCATCCTGGTCCCACCCCTTTACTGTCAAAACAGCTAAATGTAACCGCCTCTTCTACTCCAACAGCTTCTTCTCTCGCACCTCCCGAGAATAGAACCCCCTTCCTCTTACTTGCTCCCTGATAACTACAATCTTCAAAAATTTAGATGTAATGTCGATCGACATATTCTGATGTCTTGATTCCCGTTGTATACAACGGTTCCGAGCTTTATCTAAGAATTGGACAATTTTGCTTTTACACAATTTGGACAATTTTGCCGTTAAACCCGTTATATATATATATATATATATATATATATATATATATATATATATATATATAATAAGCACTTCATCCCAAGCAAGGTGTGAATGCCACTAGTACGCAAAGGGTCACAGAAATGATTAAAGATATCTTACTGGAATTATCTAAGGTTGTTATAACACTATGAGACTCTGAGCAATAAGAATGTATAATTATTCTCCAATCTTAACAGAAGAATCGTGATGAAATCGATGATAGACGGAAATGACATGTTCATCATTAATTAATCGTAGCTGAGGATAGGAAGCTCGTGAAGTATTGAAATAAAGTTCAAGTATATATATATATATATATATATATATATATATATATATATATATATATTATTCCAGGGCCATTTCCAACACATTCAAATTCAAGATGATCTTCGCCCTCTCTAACCTTCTAACTTTCTGTCCTGGAGTAACAAGGTGCCTCACACGTTTCACGTACGATTTCATTTTAAAATCTTTTTTCACTTCTCTTTGGACTGTCATAAGTGAAACTCCTCTCTCACGTACCAAATTTCTTATGAATTGAGTTGGATCTTAATCTATTTAGCTCTAGTTTGTAATAATGATTCCTCTTGCTGTTGTGATCTCCTGATCCAGTTTTCTTCTCTACTGTTCCCTCTTTTTAAACTTATTCACCGTTTCTCTTGATGGTTCTTGAATGAACTTTGAAGATGAAAGCCAGAGTATGAATGTTGATACCATTACTGAAGGCTTGAATGATTTTTCCTCTCACCATTGCTCATTTGTGAAGACACTAGCTCTGACACAAAATGATTTTAAACTTTTCTCTTTCTAACTGCATAACTCAAAGGGTCTTTAAGTTATTATTATGACAAATGGTTTCAGGATGGTTTAAACGTCTTATCTGACAACCTGAAAAAAGAAACTCAATTACTTTAGTGTTTTTTTTTATATTAAACATTTTGTGGGATGGATAATTACGCTGTTATACGATTTGGACAATTTTGGTGTTACACCCGGTATATATATATATATATATATATATATATATATATATATATATATATATATATATATTAGAATAAATCAAACGGATCAAACGGATCAGTATACCTTGAAGATCCGTTTAGGTGAAACCTAGGTTGGTTTGCCTGGCTCCTTAGGATTTATTTTAATTTACAGCTCTACTTAGCGTATTGAGCCCTCTACGTTTTCGTTGTCTTTATGTTCGCTTGGGTTTTTTTCTTTGGACTAAGCACTTAAGATACTTGACGATTTTTTTCGCCTTGTACTGGTGTTTTTAGTTCTTTTTTTTACTTCCAATTTCTATCTCGGTAACAATTTACCCTCAGATGTCTACAAGTTGAATCATCCGAGGTTTTTCAAGCGAGTAATACTGTTAATATATATATATATATATATATATATATATATATATATATATTTCCTCCCACAACTTCCTTTTATTGTACATTTTTCTGTGTTAATTTTAAATTAAATCTCCCGTTGAAGCCTGAAGAGCGGGATCGAAACCGGTTGCTTCGCCCGTTTTTAATATGTCTCGTAATATTAAGTTTTATACTTTTATTTCGATCATTAAATTTTGTACCTACAAAAATATCTTTAAATATATATATATATGTGTGTGTGTGTGTGTGTGTGTGTGTGTGCCTTTGATCAGTTTTACCATCGATCTCTACTTCTAGATCTCTACATCGATCTCTATCGATTAGCATTGATTACAAGTATTGTGTTGGGTTTGCATTTATTTATTTATTTTTTTTATTTTATTTTATTTTTTTTTTATACTGTGAATCTTGTAAATTGTTTTTTCTTCTTCAATAAAACTTAGTTACCTTACAATATATAGCCGTTGGTCTCCCTAAACAATTGGTCTTCCTAAACAGACATAGTCGCTCTTTCGCGTTTTTCATTTTTCTGTTCTTATAATGCGTTCCTGACTCTATATCGGCCATTACTGGTCACGTGACGCTGCTTCCAGAGACAAAACAAAAACGTAACGACTAAGATAAACAAAAAACAAAAGTTACGTTTTCAACATAACAAAAAAAAATGTCAAATGTTATTAGCAAAGACAAATATCGCGCACACTCAAACCCATATGCGCTCATGCGCGCGCGCGCACACACACACACACAGACACACACGCACGCAGACACGCACAGTCACCCGCAAACACACATGCATGCAAACGCATACACACTCCCACCGCACACACACACACTTGCATACTTCTCAGCACACACACACACACACACGCATCCGCACACACACGCCCGCGCACACAGCAGACACTCACATACGCACATACTTACCTGCTCCTATCCATACTTATCCCAGTACACCCCTACCACCCATACCCGCACACGCGCGCGAACACACACGCACACACACACCCGCATACGCTCGCGCACACACACACACACGCGCACACACAACCGCATACGCGCGCGCACACGCACGTAGCAGGGGTATATGTTGCGGCTCATTGGATAATGGCGTCTCGTTCATATTGACAAGTTTGAACGGAAATATAGTCTTGTGTCAGCACTATTATAATTGTTATCTTTATTTATTCGAAGACTGATGCGAGCCTCTACACCTGTCAGTGGTTGAGGAAGCCTAGACATGGCAGGTAGACCCCTCCACAGCGTCCACACTAGACGATCGGATATCTCGACTTTTATGGCACCTTCTCCTGACCCTGAACACAATCCCATTGGAGCGGAGATGATGAGAAAGAGAAACAGAGAGAATAAGGGCGAGCGAGCGAGAGAGAGAGAGAGAGAGAGAGAGAGAGAGAGAGAGAGAGAGAGAGGGAGAGAGAGAGAAAAAGTAAAGAAAGGAGAGATGTTAAAAATAACAACATGTAAATCTTTACGGAGATGTCATTTCAAAAGCGAACGTGGTCTCTTATAACTGATTTAACAAGTGGCTTAAAGAAAAATATGAAAACAGACACGACAGGGTAGGATCAATAATAGACAGAGAACTGTGCAAACACAAATGTAAGCAAATATTGCCAACACAGAAACGTGTAAAACTGAATTAATTAAATGTAACCTGTTTCGTGCGTCGAGGAAATGAAAGTGTTGGATCTGAAAATCGACTGTAAAAATCGGCGAAGTTCATGCTTTGACCTAGAAGTGATCCGGACGTCATTCAAAAACACCTGGTAGGAAGTTATATCGTTGGCATTGTTTCCTAGATGCAAACCGATAAATTTGGACCTCCAGACACGCACAGACAGAAAGAAGAAGAAACACCAGGCGGAGATA